TGGATCCAAATCCATTTTTGTTCGTTCACTAAAGATACTGGCTGACATTTTGGTGATGTATTACAGTTATATTGACAGTTTGGTTAAAAAAATAGACGAAAGACATTCATTAAAATTAAAAACAGCTAATTAAAAAGGACAAATGCTTAAGCAAAACCAGCAAAAGCAAAGTTTAATTAAGATCTGTAAATATTTATGATTATCATTCTTCTATTAATTCACATTCAGTAGTAATACCTGACAAGAGCAGATACAATTGATTTTAATGAACAAATGTATCAAATTTTATTAATTTATACTAATTAAGGTCAGACGGTTGATTTTACAAAATTAACAAGATTAACATAATCTTAATTTCTCATTTATAGAAACTGTGGAACATAACAAAAGCAACAGCAAAAATATTGTAACCTTTAAGACTCAATGTGAGTGACATGTTGATGGGAAAACAAATAAATATTGGTTAGATTATAAAAAGAGCCAACAGTTGGAGACTGATATGGATTCACGCCAAAGACATTAAACCTGCGTTAGACAAAGTAGCAGTTTGAGATCTATTTAGAAAATATTTCCATAGCAACAGTCAACCAAACAAACTTGTCTGAGACGAACTCCGATGTCAACTCCAGACAGTTCATTAAATCCACATCACTCACACTAAAGACCACCCATCACTGTTCTAGAGTCGTATTAAGAGAGCAATCAATTAACACCAGCCACCACAGATGGCGCCGGTTCTGGACTTCAAATCTAACACATTCCCTTTTGCAGGCCACATTAGGGGCTCACAAATGTGACAATATAGACGTCGTCCTTCAACAATAAAGTCCCTCTTGTCCCTATCGCGAAGCGGTGAAATATCAAGTGTGACACTGGAGTAATTGCATGGGAAGTAATCAATTAGAAGCACAATTGAAGGAGACCTGAGGTCTGTGGGCTGCCAGGCAAGAGGTTTGACTGTGTCCTGGTGATGTGCAGTCAGCCAGTTTTGTCTGCCTCCTGTGGCATAGTTGCTCTTTTCCTAGAAGTTGGACACTGAACAGGAATGCAAAGATCAAGAAGGCAGCAACACTCAAATCTCAGCAGTCCACTGTCTGGGGAAACAATTAAACAATGTCATCGCTGTCACCGTGCTGCATTTCTACCTATTGTTTTCCCTCCTTTTTTTCTATTGCTGTCATTAGTTCCTAAACTTGTCCAGCAAATGATAGCTGTTTGTCTGAGAGGCTTTGGAGACGCTAGCGAAAGGACCCAGGTGTGTGAAAGGCTAATGCACACAGTCCAGAATGGTACAAATATTTTTATGGCATGTACTGTCTGAAAGGTATCAATGCGACCAATCAGAACAACCAAGTGAGATGTGATGAGAGACAGCAGGCCAAAGACAGAGGGATAAAAAGATGGAAGGAGGACAGCAAATGGGATAGATAAATAGAGAGCAGATGGGCCACAAAAGAGTGGATAACACCTTGGCATAAAACACAGACGTGTGTACAGGCATGCAACCATTGAGGATCATTCAGCAGATGGGGCCTCAGATTGGATGCCTCATTTTGGACAGGCACAGTGCAGGCGCCGGGTGGGTAAAAACAAAATGAATCAACAACACTACACAAATTGGTAGTGAATGACGTAGGATAAAACGAGTGAAGAGGAACGACTGGTCGTAAACTGTGCTAAAGCGAAAAGCTGATTCATCTGTGCTTCACATTGAAGATGATTCTTTTTTTAACCATTGAAGAACGCTGCAATGACAAGGCAACAGTGGAGGGGGCAGTCTGAGGTTTCAGAGAAACGTAGGTAGGAAGGAAGACACTGCAGGTCAGTGTCACATAAAACAAACAAAACAGTGCGAGATTTGACGCCTAGGTAGATTTTCTTAGTGTGAAAACATCTTGAAAATAATCCTATCTTAACGTATGGAACTAAATAAATGTTCTTAAAGTAGGATAACTGGTTCCCTTTAAAAGATCCGAATTGTTCAGTTCGGGGAACAACAAATTGATAAGTGCTAACTAATTAAGAATTCAAATCTTTATGAAACTAGTCTGACTAACAACAAAAACATTTAAAGAAAAAGAGACTTTCACTCACTTTAAATCACGTCTATAGACACACTTTTCCACAAGCTTGACCTTACTTTATATTTCATATTCATGAGCACACATAGCTAAGCTTGATTGAAAGGTGCATTGGAGGAAGTCCTATCCCTTCTCACCCAGCGACCTCCTCTACCTCTCCTCTCCCATTTTCTCCTCCCCTTTAATCCAGAGAGCCCACTCACACCTCATGAAGAAAAAAAAATCAATAAGTTCAACGCCACAATATTCTGGCGACAAATTGATTTCATCCCCAGGCTATTAGGGAGCAGGTAGAAATGTGGCGTGGTGTTAGCATTTAGGAGGCCATGCCTCAGTTTAGTTCTGATGTAGTTAATAAGTTTCAACCTCTTCCATATATGTTGCTAATGGATTATATTGATCATTTCTGCGCTTCTCCTGGGAACCATGACAGAGAAGGATGGGCTCCAGTGATAGCAACATCAAGGACTTTGTCAGGACTAAGAAAGCCTGACTCACCAAGACAAATAGAGTCACAAAGGAGTTTGGATCTGTACTTTTTGATTCAAATGAGCAGAACAAATCTTGACTGTTAAGAAGATGAAAAGATGCCATGGAACAAAGTGTGACAGAAATCATTTCATTCATCTACCTTGTTTAGCACCAACTAGTGGCACATTTTAAATCACACACAAACATGTACTTTAACCTGAGATGTTCTTCAAATCTATAGGGTTGTGACAATATATAAAAATGCCTTTCAGTATACTGCTTATGTACTAAAACCCAATGGCGAGTTGACAAATGAAAATACTCGTATGTATCAAATCAGGAAAAGCCTAGTAATCGCATTACGAATGTGCTAGTAAAACTTTGAAACAAATGAAGTATTCATTAGATATTGTTCTACTTTCGACTACTGTAAAAATACCATGTACCGGTAGTAAAAATCCAGTGACTTTCGACTACTGTAAAAATACCATGTAGTAAAAATCCAGTGTGATTTTAAAGAGATGCTGATTCAGGACATGACTGTTGTGCATAACTTTTCCTTAACTTGGTGGCTCAAGGCCATGGATGGCACATCAAACAGCAGCTTCACACAGAGTCCAGATCCCACAGCACCGGCTTTGGCCGGAAACTACAATGAAAAGTAGCATCTTGGCAAGAAACTGCTGGTAGAGCAGGACAAATACAATTCCCTAAGTATGGCGCAACACAAGAAAGAATAAAAGATGGAACATAGCACACAAGCACGTACTGTAGCTACACACGCGCTCAAATGACTGTGCTGCCTTCAACTCCAGGGGATCACCAGGAAGGAACAGTTCAGGAATACAATGAGAGACATTTGAATTATTTAAAAGGCTGGGTTGGAAGCAGCTTAGACACACGGTCGGTGTGACGCATCTTTCTTATGAATCTCAATAAATATTAATCACAGGCTACATAGAAATGACAGTAATACAAAAAATAATAAAAACACAGGCAACGTATGGAGATGCCTCACCTTAGCACAACTGAGGCTCATTTAAAATGTATGTTTTATGGATTTTTTTGAAATGATTCAAAATTTTAATCTAATAAAGAAAATCAATAAATTTGAACCTTATTAAAACCACACTGGGGAGATGAATTAACATCAGATCTGCTCCAACTTGCTGCCCCTTGGAGGCGTCAAGTATATGGTTCCTCTAGGGCTCGAACCCAGGACCTTCTGTGTGTAAGGCAGATGTGTAAGCACCTGCACCACTATGGAACCATTTAATCACTGGCAGCCACAGCATCTGACAGGAAATGCATACTGGTTGTTGAGATGATATTTTAAGCTTGAAACTCTTTACGATGATGTGTGCTAACATAAACACGTGTATCAGCTATGTAATAGAGCAGGAAATGGAATTATCAACATGAACTGTTCTCTAGAAAAAATAGCCTTGTTTGTAGGGTACTGATTTAACACAAATGAATTAGTTATTAGATAACTTTTAACACTCCGTTCTTCTGTTTCACTCTTTCTGTGCAGGCCCAAGGCTGGACTACCCCACTTAGCCATCTGGCGGAGTTCAACATCTTCTAAGCGTGTCGAGAGCTTTATTTCTTACTAACCTCGGGGTCAAAGCGCCTGTAGAAGCCCTCGCTGAACGAGGGTGTTCTGTTCAAGCGGCGCAGCCACCCACTTATTTTGCCTCTTCATAAATTTGTTTTTCTGTATTTACAACACTGTTTTCTCAAACTCAGAGGAATTACAGTTGTAAATAAAAAAATGTATTTGTAAATTCAAAATCTGATTATTGTTCGTTTTGTCAGGGGTAAAACAAAAACCAAACTAGGATAGCCTAAATTTGTCAGGGCAGCTGGTGATGGTTTTACAACTCTGACTTGCACTACTTTCTGTACTTTAATAAGAAAGGCAACTTAATGAATAAAATAAGAAATTTGAATGATATTTTTTAGAAAACTTTTTAAATAACCAAAGAATACATTTTCGAATTTTATCTATTAAACGTTGCGTGCAGCTCACATTTTAAACCCAATTCATCATAATGCACTGATTTAACCACTAGATATGTGGACTGTGTGGTGGATACAATGCAACATTGTGCTAGGAAACCCCGCATTTGAATTTACAATGTGTTGTTATGGGGAGCTAATCAGAGCTGAATTCACAGCTACGCCCGCAATCACTTACACTAAAGGTAGCAATTTGCGACATCATATTGTGGCGAAGCAGTAACTCTGTGAAGTACCAACTTAAGGCTGTCGACCACAATTTATGTAAAAAAACAAAACACGTTATATTAAAAAAAAGAGCGTTTGTTCCGAACTCAGTTTAGTATAGCCGTGGATACACACACACAAACAAACAAACAAACAAACCATGAACTCGTTAAACAGTCTGTCGTCACATATGAACAACGCTCAGGTCCAGACTCTTACCTGTGAGGTTTTTCAGCCCAAGTTGCCGCAAGCCAAAGTTTCCGTCACGTCTGTAGTTGAGGAAAACTGCGAGTGAGTAACGGTCCTCGTAGAGCTTGGTTCCCCGGATGATCCTCAGGTTTTCCAAAGGCAGGTAGTCAAACTGGTTCAGGGCCACCAGCACGTAGCCCGTGACTTCCCGAATGGACTGTAGGCAGAACAGGAAGATGGGAAGTGTCAAGTGTCTGAATAATACGACGATAGTGGTACAACATTGAAGACAGAGTCAGAGACCATTTACTTTCAAAGATATGCATCGGTACTGAACCCCACCAGTTTCATATGCGTATTCACCGAACCCTTGAGTGATACCAAGCCGGGGACGTCCCAGCATGCTCTGGTGTGTATAGTTCACCGAGCTGTGAACCACATGTAATCAACTGTTCGAAAGATTTTTTTTTTTTAGGAAATAAATGTATTCATCACAATTTTTGGCAAACCTATGTTACTAATTGTGACTTGGAGACAATTTTTGGCAAACCTATGTTACTAACTGTGACTTGGAGGATTAAAAAAAAAAATATATATTTACAAAGCAAATATATATTTGTAGTATTTAATTAATGTTCAAGAATTGTTCACACTCTAGACACATTTTTAAAAATAAAATCTAAAGTCATAGTACTGGGTCTACAAGAAAACCAAATATTTTTAATGACCGATTCAAACTGAATTAGTTTTGGTTTTTCACAAATCCAAAGGGAGCTAAAGTCAGCGAAGTAGTCAGCACAGAAGCAAAATCAGGCGAATTACAAAACAGGAACAAAAAGGAAGTCAGCTGCACATCAGATCACTGACATCATCCAACTTCAAGGTCACTTCCCAAATACTTAATCATAACAGTGTGGTAAAACTGAAGCATCTGAGCAAAAATAATTCAATCTCCGGCTCGTGACCATAGGACAGAACTTGGCACAGGGTCAGCGGTCATGTCTGGGGCCAGGCCTAGGGTGACTAAGTTGCAAGGACAGCTATGGCTTCACACTTTAAATGTCATTTAGGAGGGGAAATAACAACTGTCGAGAATTTGGCAAGAAGCCACCCAGCTGAGGCTGCTGTCGCATGAATCAAAGTGACAGCTTGTGTCCTCCGTCTCCCATCCACCATCATTGTGGCTGACAGAGGCCGACAGTCGGTCACAGAGGATGTTCCACATTGGACCAGTGATGCTGATCACCAACAAGTCTCTGTGTGAAGTTCTGTTGCTACTAATGTATGGGGTTGAAACAAGTCCTGAGGAGCAGCCCGCAACTGCAATCATGGCAGGTGACAGATGTCGGAGATCACGGTCGCCTTGGCCACAAGGAAGTTAGCTGCAGTGGAAACTTCCTCATCTTTGCTGCACTGACTACCAATAGTAGAAACAGACATGACACTGTTGGTGCAGCTGAGGGTGATACTGTATATAATAGATTTCAATACATGGAGTATGTGGTGTAAACCAGGGTTCACCAGCCATGTTCAAACGTACACAGTGTTTTTCTTCTCTTCTACATCGGTGGTTTTACTGATGAACACTTTATTTACAGTCTACGCTGGACGTCTTTGATGTCTGAGCTCGTACTTCTATACGGTGACATTAGAGTCAACACAGAAATATGAAATCTGGAGCTTCACAGTATGACTTCATTTCCATAGCCAAGAGCTGAGGATGAGTCACACTCCCCCTGCTGGAAGGGCAAAGGTCCTTTTAACACAGCTACATGACAAAACAGCTCCAAGACTGCGGCGTCCGATGACATTGTCCTGGGCGCGCTCTCATAAAAGACGCCCCACATGTTTAATCCAGATGCTGCGTTCATGCTTCCAGAAAGCTAATATTGGCACACAACTAAAGTCCAGTCACCTCCTGCCGAGGCAGTTATTTCAGGGCACGTTCCCCCCACTCTCTGAGCCTGTTTATTACCAGCTTTGCACACTTTTGCTTTTTTTTCCTCTAATCACTAAATCAATACTTTACAAAGTACAGCCTTGCAGAGAGAAATAAAATAATGGAGAGAGAATATGGCAGGTACACACACTGTTCTCCCGACAGATGGTTTGTTCAATAATGAACTATGGAGGGGAAAAAGGCAAACTACGTGTAGTAATTACAGACCTTTGCTGAACTAATGGCCAACCCTGCTCTGCTTAGTCACTTTCATTAAAAATAGATCAAGGAAACAAGCACTTCACCCCAACAACCCCACCATTAGGTGTAGCAAAGCTGCAGGACTGGAGGACTAAGAAATAGAAATAGGAAGAAGTGTAAAGGACTACAGATAGACGGATATAATCTGAGACACTCACGGGAACAAAATCAGATAGAGGAAAGATGTGGAGGTTATTTTTAAGTTATCCATAAGACCACTTTAACATCTGGGCAATTAGAGAAAAAATGTGTTTGCTTTTGTAATCGTACGCCTGTCAAACTTTTACCAAACAATTAATCATGAGTACACATGAGTATCACAATTAATCGACAGCTACCCTATAATTACCCTATAATTATATAAAATTTATTTTTTTACTAGTTGTATACTGTATTACAATAAGTCATGATTTAATCAGGTAAAGATAACGTTACCTGGTCTTGAAAATGTCTGCACTTACGGCGAGAGGCACTTCTCTCGAAAGTGATATTCTATGTTGGCGTTTCAGATCAAACTGCTTGGTTATTGGGGAATTACTTCAATCCACAGGTATAAGTATTGGCATTGTACTTTAAAGAGAAGTACACTTAAATCCCCAATTCACTCAGCCTGCAGGCTCTCAGTTGTAAGCCTCCCAGGAGATCAGAGCATCAGAGTCCCAGTAACAGTGAACAAAAAGAAACAGAGCTCCAGATTCACTAGATTAACAGGGATTTCTTCCTCCTCCCTCCTCTTCAGGCCAAAGCGTTTGTGAACGGAAGTGTGGCACCGGAACAAACCCCTCACTTCAGTCACTGAGACGTGTGCAGTTTAAAAATCAGGCCATTCAGTCTCCAACTTCTGAAGGCACAGAGGGAGGGGGGGGGGGTTGGGGTAAAGTGTGTAAGGAAAAAGTATTGGAAGTAGCAAAGGCGGCATAGACACTGCAGGAGGAGGGGGGCCACTGGGGTGGATCCGACCAGGTCGATGTTTATTTTATGCATAGTTAAAATCTGGCTCATTCCAGTCGAGGGAAAGACAGAGGCGGAGCCAAGAGTGTGTGAAGAAGAAGAACGTGGAAGAAGAACGATGTCTAAAGAGATCAGTAACATCTTAAAAAAAAAAAAAAGAAAACAACAAACATACACGTTGGCATGGTTATCTGTATTAGCATGCATATCACCACGTTGTCATTTGCCGTGCAGGCTGCAGCCAGTGAGGCCGGATCCACAAGAGTGCGTTGGAATAGCTTAAGGCTTTCCTTGCCTCTGCAAGGCCTCAGCCACGATTTCCATATCGCTTCCCAAAACACTTCGCCTGAGCTCACATCCACATCCGTAAATACACAGAGAATCCGGAGGGCGTGCCTAGAAGTGTTAGGGAGAAATCCTCCCGCGTTTTCCCAAGAGCTCATCCTCTGGATAAACGACAAGCTACAGGAACTTTAATCCGACTTCAGGGACTAAAAAGCCTAATTACTATTTAGACATTCATTTCCAGAACAAAACCTTCATTTGCATGACATGATGGATGCTTATCACCGACTTTGTCAGCATTACCACCGCTCTTTATACCGCTGTGCTTTGTAAAGTGTTATAACTCCCAGCAGGGTCACCGTCTCCTATCAATTTTTCAAATTCTTTATTTTTCAAAGACCCAGACAGAGCCGTGCTGTGCGGCTTTACCCCAGTTACAAAGGTGTCTAACAAACAGCCCTGTACGTCGTCAGAAACCTGCTCAGACCTCAAGCCCTCTGGAGTGACTGAAACCCAATGTGGTTCACTTCAAACACCTGCAGTCGACGCAGGTCTGTGTGTGTGAGGGCGAGTGAAAAAGAGAGCGTTAGCTAGAGATGGACAGAAACAGAGAGCGAATGAGGGAGATGTAGGGAGCAGGCGAGAGCAGGTTTATGTATGTGCATCACTCAAATGTTTATTGCCTGGAGAAGATTACAGTAATAACCCATCTTTGAAGATGAAGAGAAAGTGTCCCCTCTGATTTCTGAATTATACCTGTTATGCCCTTATTAAAGATGGCTTCTCCAATGTGTGTTCCATTCCTGCGTTTGTCTAAGAATCCTGTTACCCACCGAAACAGGAAAGATTTAAACATCTCTGCAAGTTGTTTCCCCCTCGCCTTCACATGTTTAGATCAATGTTCTGTTGAAGGTTTCTCTGTCAGGAATTCATCTGCTTCAGTTTCATTCAGCTGTGAGCAGAAGGGAAGTCAATAAAAAAAAGAACAGCACAGACACCGTTTCATATGCTTGTGGTTTTTTTTGGCCCGCGTTCAATATTAGATTTGCTGACTAATGTGACTGGCAAGAATGTGTGACTTTGAGAAGACACAGTTCAGCGAGCGTGCACGCTGCATATGCTGAGGCTCTGTGTAGTTCTGGGTTGATGTCGCAACAGTGTGACAGTCTAGTTGTCAGGAGTGATGAAGGAAAAGCCTGTGAGGCACATGCATCACTGCCGCAAAACAACACATGGCAAAATAGAGGAAAATGGTTTAAATAACAGGAGTGAGCAGAGAGATGTGCTGAGACAAAAATGGAAACCAGATAAAGTTAATTCAACAACAAGACTCCAGTCACAGTATTAATGCACCCCGGTCCACACGAACAGGAAACTCTGCCTGTTCTCACTGTAACTGATAAATATGGACTACGATAAAACAGCCGTTCTCTTCTTCTGTAGTGTTTTCAATGATAAGTTTTTGGACCCGCTTTAGGTTCAGTTATTGAAGAAAAATGTTAATTTGCTCACGAAAAACAAATATATATAACATATATATGCAGAAAAATACAAAAACACACTAAATATACTGGATGTATATGTGTGGTTTCATATATATGTATTGACATATAAACTTTACTGTACTGTACTATATATGTTTGTTTACTAGCGCATACACATNATATATATATATATATATATGCTTTTTGGTTGGTAGTGATATATTTGTTTGCTATATATATATACATATATATGCAACCACACATACTCATTAATATATTTATATGTGCAATCATATC